CCCCAAAACCCCAAAACCCCAAAACCCCAATCGGTTTATTAGTGAGTGAAGAATATATTAAATTGTAAAAACATGCTTGGTTGCCAAAAAAAGTATGATTATTAGAGAGGGGAGTGAAGGATGAGTATTGGTTTTTGGAGGTTGGTGAAATGCAAATTATGGTCGAATTTTATAGATAATATAGATACTACAGGATTTGTATATTGGAAGTATGTTTTAATTGATTCATATTGGGTTATTATTAGCTCTCGGAAATAAGAGATCGCAAATGTATTGGATCACGTCAAGCTTACGTATAAAATGAAATTAGATAGAGAAATTTTATTTCCCTTTCTCAAATTTTGATGACTAATTCAATTCCTGTATTAATAACTGGATAATATTAGTAAATCACTGACTTAGAAAGTCATAATTTAACTTGTATAAAATAAACTAACAATACTTTATAGCAAGATGATGAAGAAATCAGAAATGGAAGATTATGAAGATAGCATTTTAGGAAGTAATTTCATAGTTATAACATTTTTCTAGTGTCAGATGTGGAAAAGACTATTAATCGAAATAAATATATGAGAAAGAAAGACTTGATATGGAGAACTACTCTTGATGAAGATATTATACCTTTTACTAATTTAAAGCCATCACTTAAAGAACTCACCCAGGAAGAAATGAAGAAAAACGATGCTCCTGATCAGTTTAACTTCTCTGAAGCAAGTTTATTTAGGAGCTTCAAGGCCGGTTCCCATCCACTGTTCAATAAAGATAAGCTAATCTATAATTTCAAGACTAACAAGTGGTTCAAAGTCTTGGACCTAAAGACTGATAATGAATACAATCCAACTTGGGCTAGTCTTGCTATCAGAGATGAGTCAGAAACTATTGAAATTTCCGATTCTGAGGATTTCAGCCAATTTAAGAGCACCTTAAAAGTCTTTATCAACATAAACTTTCAGGAAGGAGAAAGCACAGTAGTAGAAGTGCATCCTAAAATATATGAAAAGTTCGAGACTGCCTTTGAAGATGCATTCCAAGGAGCTGGAGTCAGTATAGAGTCATACAAGCTATTTTTTAAAGGAAAAGAGGTCCCTAAAGACGACTGTATTGCTAAAATTGATGGGATTTATGATGGTTCGACTATTCTAGCATCAGAAGGTGTTGGCAAGTCTCACAAGTTCTCAAGATTTCCACCAATTAATGAGATGCGATCTAATTGGTCGAATAGTGGAAGAAGTTGAGATGCTGTCATTTTTGTTCCAAATCAAAATATCAGAGTGTGTGGGTTCAGTACATATGCTGCCACTACTGATTCTCAATATGAAATGAAGTATTCTGTAACCATTGATGGAACAATAGTAGAGGAAGGCCAAGTTACCGCATCTGGTTGGGAAGATAAATACTTTTACAGGTTCAAACTTGAAGGAGTTTATCCAGTTAAAGCAGGCCAAAAGATAGACATAGGAGTTTGGATTGCTAAAAATATATCCTCTAGTGAGTATGTATCCACATATGCAGGTGGGCAAGGTATGGATTACGAAAAAGTTGAAAATGAGCATATGGGGCTATTCAAAATCGAACCTTCAACTCAAAGCAGGAATGGAACTTCAGTCTATGGAGGACACCTTCCAGAAATATTCTATTATTTGGGCTAGTTTCAATTCTGAGGAAATACTAAGGGGTTTTGGGGTTTTGGGGTTTTGGGG